TAGTTAGTGCACACTGATCCCAGTATTCATTGAAACACGCCGCTACAAAAAAAGGTATATTTTAATAAAGTTGGTGTCTCAATATTGCAGCGAATATAAATGCCAATGTAATCAGTGTCACAGGGGACCTTGTATCAATCACTTACTGCTATTATTTCAGTGTTTACACTAACGCTCCACATTCCAAATCGATAGAATTTTCAATGGACTATTCGCTCATATATATGTGAGTTTTAAATTTTCTTCTATCGAAGAAAATAAATAATAAAACATGTTTTATAGAACTTTACGAAGTAGTTTTTTACACGCTAAAAATATTTTTGATATAAAAGTATTTTACTATATCCAAAGAAATTTTTTAGAAGAAATCATCAATAATCTTTCAGAAAAAAAAATACCAACATTGGCTTTCTACCATGTTCCGATACAGAAATATGAACAACATATAAGTTATGTAAAATTTTCATCATATATATTATAAGCATCGTTTTAAGAATCAAATATCTTTTGTAATAAAAAAGATTTTAAGATCTAATTAGATGATATTCTGTTGCAATTATACTATGAAATATAAAACCAATCATTCTTAATAAATAATAGAACAAATAAGCTATTATAATATTTCTAACAGCAAAACAAAACAAAAATGCGCTAATTAGAAAAAGAAATACACAGGATAGACTATAAATAACAATTTGATAGAATAATTTGAATATCTCTATTCTACGTCAATCAAATGAATTGATTTTTTATCAGTGATAGAAGAATATCCTAAGTTTATATTCATAACAATAACATAAAGAAATGTTGCTCATAATTGACATCATTAGCTTCAAGAAATATTTCTAGATTTTTCAAAGAATTCTGATATCCATTATACAGGATGTTCAGAAAATAACAAAACAAAGAAAAGTTTCCATACATATCTCCGCCATATTTTGAGCAAATGGGTTGATATTTTACCACTAATCAAAAAGTATGCATAGCTCATGTTCATAAGGAGAATGTTGTCAAAAATTGTTTTGAAGTAGTACAACTAACCTCAGCAAAAACTGTAACCTTTCACGAGTTATGAAAAATCAATACTGCAGTTTCGTCAATGACTGAAACTTTCAAAGTACACTGAGTAACAAGACATGTATTGTAGTATAAGTATGAGACCAAACGACACTAGTGTGAAGAAGTAATCGAAAAAATTACACGTCGTTTATTCTTAGCTAAGGGAATAAATATATTGATTTTTTTTTCATGACTCGAAAAATATTATAGTTTATTGTTGAAGTTAGTTGTATTACTTAAACAATTTTTGACAATATTTTCTTTATGAATATGAGCTATGCCTACTTCTTTATTAGTGGTCAAAATATGGCGGAGATATAGGGTATCTCAAAATTATAGGACTTCCCCCCCCCCCCCCCCCCTTTACCATACATTCATACAATAATATTTATTTCATTAAGAAAAGTTTATATTATTAAACTATTGATAACCTATTCATGTCAGTATGGTTGTCTACTAACTATTGCCATTGTCGATTGTTTTTGTCTGTTTCTCTATAGATGATATTAATATTATTGTACGAATGTATTGCAGGGAGATCCCATAATTTTGGGATACTCTAGATATATGCAAACTTTTCTTTGTTTTGTTATTTTCTGGATACCCTGCATACACTAATGAGAATATGGCATTTCCAAACTGTCTGGTTTTTATCTAAAATAAATCATACTAAAAATATTATTTTTATATTTGAGATAAACTATCGTGCATCTATGTAAATTTACTATCCAATAACAAATTTTAAAATATATTCGATACGAGATATTTTTTGTCATCTACAAGCAGCTATATTTATTGAAACGAATGCTTTTAGTTCTCAGCAGTATTATTTGTTGACGATATTTTTATGAATAGAAACTAGAAACATTCCTTTCTTACTAATAAAAAAAAGATCAGTCTATTGAATTTACCTAAAATAGAGATATTAACATTTTATATGGTCTTACTATTTATAACCTATCCTATATGTCACTTCGAATAGATCACTCAATAATTCATTAGAAAAGAAAGTAACATAATATTAATAATTATATGAATATCGTTTTTTTCTTTAGGCTTTTCATCAATATATTGTTTGTCATATTTAATTCTTAATACCTAATACAAAATATCAGTTTAAATAATATCAAATGTCTAAAAAGTTCCAAAACATAAACAAAACAGTAAACAATATATATTTTACTACATTAAAATGGTACCTTTTAATTAATATCAACTGATCTATATTGTGATAATATAAAATATCCTGGTAATAATCTTAAATATCTCATTTTCTTTTAATCCATAAGTATAACGAATGAATTATTTTAGACAAAAGAAACAACAAAAAATGATGATCTATTTTGCTCTCTTTGTTCATTATAAATACATCAAAGAGAATTGCGTTGATTAAATTTTTATTCTATTTTCTATACAATTAATATAATAATGCAGAAATTGAAATAACTTAATAAATTTAGATATTTTCTTGAATAAAATCAAATTTAAAAAAAAATAAATAGATATAAAGAAATAAAATTTATTCATATAGATCAGTAGTTATAATGAAAATTATTATGTGATCAAATTTAATAGATATTTAAAAGCTTTTTATTTTTAGATATAAATATTTTGTATATTTGTATTGTCATGAGATTTGCTTGGCAATTATATTGATGAAATTTAGTCATTCAAGCTGTCATATTTATTATATAGTCAAATATATTGTTTTTTTTTCATCGATATTGTATCGATTATTATCTCCAGAGATTTAAAATAATAATACAAAACGTGAGATATATTATTGTTTTTTTTTTCTTATGTTTAGTATTTACACGCAACCATAATAATGAAAGAGAAATAAAGAACAATTCTTAATGTCTTTACAAATTCATAACAGATATGAACACAATCATAAATATTCACAGAGTAAAAAAATAAAAGGCACACATATTGATTCGTTATGTTTCATATTGATGTCATCTTCGCAGCTGGATTCCTAATGTCAAGTACTATGAATAATCCCAGAGATAAGATATACTTTGAACTTTCTATAATTGTGACTTCATTATCTTTAAATTTACGATATGTCCTTGATGTTTATAAACAAAGAAGATTAATATGACATGAAAAAACTCTTTGAGTAATTTCATTAAATTTAGTTCCGGCTTTTTTTCCTCTTTTCTCTCGAAAATTAATTTGAAACTAATGATAATTGAATGAATCGTACATTGAAAAAGATAATCAGAGGCATAAAAAAACAACCCATACATGAAATCTTAAAGAAAATAAACAAGTGTCATCATTATATGTAAATATCAGTGTTGACACCATTTTGTGGGCGTTATTTGTCCCCTCAGCTACGAAATATAACTGCTATGCCAGACATTCACTTGTCAATACTATTCCTTATTTATTCTTTTCCATCATCCGTATGTCATTCCATTGATATGTGGTGATTTAAGTATTGACAGATAAGACAGAAAATTTGCTGAAAGTTCAAGGATTTGTTTTTTTTCGGAAAGATGGATATATTTTTGACAACATAATATAACTATCAATTGACAATCAACCAAACTCTTAATAGATTGTGATTCGTTTTTTCTTTGAATTATATTATGAAAGTTGACAACTCTTTCCGCCATTTTTTTTGTCTCTTTTATCTTCAGTCATATAACCGTATGTCATTGTATTAGGTATAGAAAATATTCTTGAGAGAAATATTTTTTATATATTAATGTCCAAACAAGAGTTATGAACGTGATATAAGCCTTGAACAATGTGTATGTATTTGAAAACAAATTATAAATAACATGTTTTATTTCTAGCTTTATCTGTTAGAAATATAGTTATTCATACTCATGTGTTACTAATATCCTCTTTTCAAGCTATTCATAGAATAGACGACTAATGCTTCTTTTTTTTTTTGTTGTTATTTTTTTCTATTCACATAAAAAACCACCAATCATATCCAGCATGCTTTCAATTATCATGATAATAAAAAACGAAGAAAAACTTAATTATAATTTGACTTAGAAATCTTTGTATTTAATAAGATTTTTGTTTTATTTATAATATCATCAATCGATACCGCATGTGTCAAAGAAGATAAATGTTATCTTTTTGACTTATCATAATCCAAATCTATCAAGCTTTATTGCGTCTATTGAAATGATGCGTCAAAATTTTCATGTTTGATTCATTAGCTTGAGTATATTTTGATTACATTCTCTTTCCTATCTTTTTTGCTCGTGACGACCTGAGTATTTCTATTCGCTGATATTAGATAGATCCATGTATATGATCATACGATCACAAGATTTAAGAGAAAGATCATGATTATTTTTTACAGGAAGATTTTCTTAAGATCTTAGTTAAAAAATAAGAATAGGGGAAAAAAAAGGAAACAAAAAAATAGATAAGAAAGCCGATTTTTTTCTAATTAAATTCATTTTGTTTTTGACGTATGACAAAAAAGAAGAATTCTACTCTCAATGGTAACTATCTTCAGCATGTATCTTCAAGTAATAAGACCTTTTTTTTCTCTGGATGGTTGTTTTTCTTTTTCTTTTTCTTTTTTTTCTTTACACCATTTCACTTACGTTGCTGCTATCTATTAAGAAAAAAAATGTCTTGACACGCTATTTCATATTATATTAGATACCAGACAGGTCGTTATCCTTATTTGTTAATTACAAAATAAAATCATGCTGTTCATCATGTTAGATTAATATGGTAACTCACAGTAGTAATACACATTAATTATTATCAAAAATAAAACGTTTAAAAGCCGACAAATAAAAGAATTATAAGGCGCTGACAGATCGCTCTTTTGGTTTATATAAGAAATAAATGTTGAGAGATGCAATATTGCTTTTTTTCTAGAATATATAATTTATAAATATGGTGCAGTGAAGGTTGATATTAAACAGATAATTAATAATCATATTTATGCTTCTACTATGAACAATCTTACAATTATGATTAATAATGATAGCAATAGTAGTTGGTATGATGATAATAATAATGGTCCATCATTCCATACACAAATTATTTTTGCTAGTGCTTGGATTTTCATTGCTGTTGCGGGTATTATAGGTAAAAAGAATTTTTCTTTTTTTAAATTCAATATATTTATTATTGTTGTGTATATTTTATTAGGCAATAGTCTTGTTATATTTGTAGCAATTCGATTTGAAAAATTGACTAATGTTACAAATTGTTTCATTGTTAATTGTAAGTTATAACACATTTAATTCTAATTGATTATATAATAAATAATATATTCTTCAATTTATTCTTCTAGTGGCTATTACTGATATAGTCTTCTTAGCATTTTGTATGCCATTTCTAGTCATTCAATATACACTTGATCATTGGTAAACTAATGAATTTTGAACGGAGGAAAAAAAAGAAACTTATCTTTTTTAATTTATTTGCTATTAGGTATTTTAATGAAACATTTTGTAAACTTCTCAATTTTATTACATTTGTCAGTGTTCTTGTTACTGTGCTTACATTAGTTATAATGACTATTGATCGGTATATTTCTGTTGTACATCCATTTGAAAATATAAAATGGCGAAAACCAAAAACAGTCTTTTTACTGAGTTTAATTATATGGTTGCGTGAGTAAAATATTTCCTTTTTTTTTACACATATGATGCTATTTTATCATATAATTATTCATTTTTTTAACGACATCTATTCTTCATTGATTGTTAGAAAATTACATGCTTTTTTGTTTTATAGTTTCATGCACATTTGCTGCACCATGCTTTTTTCTTTATGGTGTTACAGATGATATTTATAAACAATGTGTATTATTAATAGATGAACATGTACAAAAGCAATTTCGAATATATACTGTTACACTTTATTATTTTATTCCATTAACAATTATTCTTATTTGTTATACTAGATTACTTTATTATGTTTATTCAAAAGAAAATAAATGTAAACCAAAAACGGTATAGGTCAAATTTCTTGTTTTTGTTAATAAGTTTGACTTGTTTTTTTTTCTTGGTAATAGACATCTAGTCATGTTAAATGGTCAAAACGACGTCGTGCTGTAACAAAAATGGTAGCGATTGTTACTCTTGTATTTTCACTTTGTTGGTTACCTCTTACATTATGTATAATGTCAGCAAATTTCTTTGAACATAGAACAGCTTTTTTATATTATTTTAAAATAATTGCAAATTCATTTACTTATTTAAATTCAGCTGTTAATCCAATAATATATGCATTTTTAAATCGAAGTTTTCGAAATAATTGTGGAAATATTCTTTCGAAACCTGCATGTTTACCACATAGTTGTAGAAATGATGATCAACAACAAGAACAACGACGAATATCAAAACAATCAAATGGTAATCAACAACCAAAAAAATGTTATTCAAATATAGAAAAAAACATTATAATCGATAATAAACGACAAGTATTATCAAATGATATATTAGAGAGTGACTCTTCAGATGCTGAATATGAACCACAAGATCGTGTTTATTTTTCTCATGTAATTGTTAATAATATGGATCATAAAAATAATCATTCTAGAAAACATTATGGAAAATTTTTAACTACTACTAAAACTACTAATGATCGACGTCTTACAACATCTTTGTAACAGAAAATTCAGCTTAATATTGTTACACAATATATTTTTTTTATGTATACGTATATTTAGAATTGTTAATAATGTCTTTATTAAATGTTGTAAGAAATCTTCATATATTGTTTTGCACAAGAATTTCTTCATAAGGACAAATAGAAATCTATAAGATGACATAAATGAACTTCTTTAAGACAATATTCTTCATAGAAATTAATAAAATTTTACAAGGGTTTCAATATTAAACATCATAAAAAGAATGTGTCAACAAATGACTAACAAATTTTTATTTCATAAGATTATTTAAAATCGAAATTTCAACAAAAGAAAAAATTGTTCAAAGAAATATTTAAACGTAATCTGAGAAAATAAATATTATTATGACTTCGTATAATTAACAATTCGCTTGAGAAGTCTATATAATCATTGTTAGGTACTTTACAAAGGGTGGGCGCACATAAGAAGTCAAATTGACCCGCTAGTACTTTTCTTGGCCAAGTCGATTGAATTGTATATCAACGAAAAGAGTAGAGATATGTTCAGATTTCTAAAAATCAAAACCATATATTTTTCAAAGTCAAAAAAGATTCGGCCATTTGAAAAGTTTCAAAATACACTATTTTCCAGGCGCAATGTTATGTCTTTTTGATTAATATTTACAAAAATTCAATTAGAAAACATTCAATTTGATTCAAAACTAATATAATATTCAAAATCAGCATAAAAAAATTGAGTTGATCTATAGATGATTTAAAGAATATCTGAAACCTTTTTTTTCGTTGAAAAATTGACCTCTGGTCCTCCTGAGATACTAGACAAAAATTCAATTGCATCAAAACACTATTTGGATATTATACAGAAATCTTGAAAGTTGTTTTAAAATTATTCGATGAAAAAATTACAGATATGTAAAAAAATGAAAGCGGAATTTTCAATGAGTTCATCCTTCGTCTTGTTTTTGAGGAGGACCAGAGGTCAATTTTTCGACGGAAAAAATAGGTTCTAGAAATTCCTGAAATCACATATAGATCAACTAAAAATTTTTGTGTTGATTTTGAATATTATATTAGTTTTGACTCAAATTGAACGTTTTCTAATCGAACTCATGTAACTGTTAATCAAAAGGAGATAACATTGTGTCTGGAGAATAGTGTATTTTGAAATTTTTCAAATCGTGAAATTTTTTTTTTTGACTTTGGAAAATATATGATTTTATGACTTTTTTAGAAGAGTTATATGTAAACGATGCCAAAACTTTGGTCATTTCAATTTTTAAATTAAAATATTTGCTGAAAGATAAAAATGCATGATATACACAGTAAATATGCTAATAGTGTTTGCCAGTACATTCAGCCTATATTTTGCTAAATCAAACAATCAATTAGTGATTTACATATGAGATTGAAAGCAACATCAAAGAGCTATCAAAGTCATAATTTTAATAGTATTTTGTCTTGTCTGCTTATTCTCAAATTGAATCCACCATGATAGGATACATTATTAGAATAATAACCAAAAATGCGTTACTTTTTTCGTAGCTTTTAAGTTTCAAAATCTATCAAAACTTTATGAAACTAGTACTAAAATGTTGTTCTCAGCATGCTCTTTTCATTGATATATGGTTCAATAGAGTTTGTCACGAAAAGTACTAGGAAATCAATTTGACCTCTTATGTGTGCCTATCCTTTCACAGTTTTTTCTATGAAGAAACGCAATCTATACTCACATAAATGTGTATTGAATATATTATCATGTGACAATTGTGATAGGAAATATTAAGCTTATCTTTATCGTTGGTTCTATCGTAAATAGAGATATATAGAATAAGCTTCTTGAAGTTATGACCATGACCTAGAACATTTTTCTTCATTCTGATCATATTCTACTCTGCACAGTTCTACTTGTAACTAGTAAATTATATTTATTATAGCAGTACAGTATAATTTGGAATTGATATAGAAGAACATATCGATACATTCTCTTCACAAGATTCTTTATTTAATAAATAAATAAGATAAGTTTAAATTCTGCTTTTCTTTTGAGAATATTCAAGTCTAGATAGATTATTCACAATATCAAAAATTCGTTTAAGCATATTTAATGACTTCTTCATACAAGTACTTATTATCTAATGCTAACATCAAGATTTCAAAGAATAATAGCTACCTAGATCTGAATTAATTTTTTTTTGCTGAATTAGCTTTATGTTGCATTTTAAACATCTTTCCGTAGTATGTAGAAGAAAGTCATTATGCCATTTTTCATTGATTGATGCACAAAACAATATTATTGTAAGTAATTATCAGCGATGGATGATTAGATAATAGAAATGTCTGTTAAATTACAAGTGTTTCCCAATATTATAATAATGCACCAAAATAGTTTCTTCTCAGTCGACTTACTTGATCAATATTATTCTGAATAACAGCTATCTGTAGATGATCAAATGGATAAAATTTTAACTGCATATCAAATGTCTTATCGTAAAGTAATAATGCAATCGAATCATCATTTACTAACTGATATGTTAAACTAACATTAGTTTTGGTAGTAACGAAATATAGACGATTAGATGGAAGTGACTTTTCCTAAATTATAAAATATTCTTTCATAGTACCACAGTAGAGTTGAATAATCTTCGATGGAATAATATACTATTCCAAAGATATTGTAAACAGTAGCTAATGATGGATGATTACATGGAAGAGGTTTCTCTTGAATTTTTAAATGTGTCATTCTATAAGAAACAATGAAGTTAAATAATCATATTCATTGAATCATGTACCAGTAGAATAATATTGTAGGCAATTGATAGAGTACCAAATCCAGGGTCTATGACAGTTGTGTGTAAGACAATTGTGTGTAAGACAATTGTGTGTAAGACAGTTATGAGAACAGACAATTGTGTGTAGGACAATTATGTGAATAAAAAATTGTGTGCAAGATAATTATGAGAACAGATAATTATGAATACATCAATTTATTTAATTTGCACTGACTGATACTAGTGAAAAAAAGAGCATAAAAATGATATCTATGCACCATTTAAAGATATTTGTGGTCTACAAATTCCAGGTCTTAATCCGCTTTACAATTATTGTGAAAATTACTGCTCGGGTAAGCTTCGAAGCCATAAGAGATGAACAATTCCAACATTTCCAATCAGATTGTTGAAATTACACAATTTGTTAAGGAATCAATTCGATTACATAAACAACGCCGTCGCAGCGGTGCCGATGACTTAACAATATCATAGTCTCAGCCATCCTGAATTTTGATGATTTTCGAGGAATCTTCAAAAAGAACAATCATACGTAGACGGTGAAATCTCTCAACTAGTAACCAGTCTCACACCAAAACAAAAGAGAATCAAACCTCAACAGACAGTATCCAAAATTTTATGGTTTTTAAAAAGTCTTACAAAAGATAATATACAAAAAGCTAAAAGCGTTTGCTCATGCATTCATATTATACTTGTTCATTCTGAATTAGTTTTGTTATTTTGATTACTTCTCTTTTGTTCATTATCTTTTTCTGACAAAAATATTTATTTACACATAATACGTACACATTCATTTTGCACACAATTGTCCATTCACACAATTGCCTTACACACAATTGTCTGCATACAATTGTCTTACACAGAATTGTGTTACACACGATCGTCGTACTCCCCCAAACCCAAGTTTGATCACAAATTTTTATTTGTTTAGAAAAGAATTTATAACTTCTCTACATAACGTCTGTTCGAACTAATTTTTAGTTTTCAGGATAGAGTAAAAATATCGCTCTATCTTATCATCTACTTTTCATTCGAAATTAATAAGCTCTTAAGGAGCCGTAACCGTCACAAAGATAACTACCATAATTTTTGTCAATTCTTCTTTTTTCTTAATTAGATCATTCAAGCTAATTTGCAAATGGACTTTTGGAAAAAACTTGTTTTGACAGAAAAATTATCTTAAAGCCCTCCAAAAAACAAACGCTTGCGTTATTCTTAACTCAAAATTTATGTTTTCCTTTATTTTTTTATAATTCTGACGTGTCATCTTCATTACATTTTGTCTAATTACATTCGAATAATATTTGTGATCGAATAAGGCAACTGATCTTAAATCGATTACTCGAGCTATTTTGAGTTCCTAATTTGGTCATCTAATGTAAAACACATGAAATTTTGATGAATGTTCGAAACAAAAGATGTTCGTGCTAGTCACAATTGATACTGTTACAAAAGTTGTAGTACAGCTCAAAGACTATCTATATACAAAATATGAGCAGTATTAGTTGGTTTTCATATGTTATTCGATCGTTGTTAAGTACAAGAAACTTTCATTTTTATTTTATTTGTTGTTTCAATGTTGTTGGCATAAAAAATAGAAATTAAGAAACTGTTTTAAATTAATATATTCAAATAGCTTTTAATAGAAGAAAGTCTGATTTAATAAATACCTATGTATACTACTTTTTCGTTAAGATTATGTTTCAAGACTGGAAGAACAGTTACTTCCAAAGAGACTTATTTTAGTTGTAATTCTATAATGAACGTCATCTGGCTCACCTATACACTACGAGTTCATCATATATTTTTCGGAATAAAGAACCAAAGAACAACTAAGAACAACACAACCAGCACTAATACAAATTCACGTTATTCGATAACCTTTTCCTGTAACATTATTTGCCTCAAAAACATGTCGACAACTAGATTTAACTATAACCTATTCATCTATAAAATATAAATAATTGATTTCAATTTAATTAAGTATATTAACTTTTTGTTTAATCTGAAATTAATAAAATTAAATAAATAAATATATTTATTTTATTAGTCTTTTTTTTTAATTCAGACGGTTAAACAAATAGTTGATATGAAAGAAAAATTTGAAGCTGATCTTTATCGAAAGGTAAATAAATAAATAATCTATTGTTTATAATAATAACACAATAGAACATTTATACAAAACACTAGTCCTTCGACCTGATACAACTTTGCCATATTTAACAAATATTTT